CCGGCCGTCCTGGACTACCTCGGCTCTGAGCCCTACCGACCTCTCGATCGCGCGGGCCGCTCTATGGTGAACTGCCCTAGCCTGGCTACGCTGGAGGCTAACTGAAACCCGTGGCACTGGGCTTCAGTTGCCAGTACCAAGTTAAAACCATTATCCAGGAACTGGCAAAGAGCACCGCTCTAGTTGGTTTTGTGAATTTGAAAGCTACAGCTCTTTGCGGGCAGCCTGCCGATTTAAGTTAGAGAGGGAAGCTTAGAAAGTTAGATGCGTAAGTTAGTCGCAGACCGCGAAATTACATACAGCGAGTCACGACAAGTATACAACCTAGTAGACAGCCGTGTAACTTGAATAACTTTCTAAGCTTCCCTCTCTAACTTAAATCGGCAGGCTGCCCGCAAAGAGCTGTACTACTACCTACCAACTAGTGCGTTACGGTTTGCACACTTCTTTCGGCGCAGAGCCGCCAGGGAGCAAACAACAGGTAGTTTGCATACTACCAGCTGGCGGCAGTCTGCGCTGCATTGGCACTTTCCAGCCAGGGCGGTCCCTACCGGCCCTCTAGGCTCTAGGCCCCTGCTGCAGCCAATTCCCGCTCTTTCAGGACGGCTTAAATGGCTTCCCGCATCGCACAGCTGCTCGGGTTCCTCCGAACGGGAAGCAAGTCGAACGCCACGGCTGCTGTTGCTCGGGGAACTTTCTCCTCCGTGTATCCCCAGGCGCCTTCTGGAGCTAATATCTCCAAATTGGCAGCAGCCCACTTCCTGGGATCGAGCTTTTCGAGATCCCTGCACACGAATGCAACCCCAATTCCGACTTTTGATACAGCCCATGTTGGCGCTTTCGTCCGACAGCTCCTGCAGCGCGCAAGCGGACCAATCACAGCCCGCCATGTCAGCAGCTCCGCTCAGCAGTCCTCTGCTCGCTCTTTTGGCACGCTCGTGCGATCAGCTGTCTCAGATGGCAAGCTCTCCCTTGCCCGGCGACCAGATGTTCTGAGGAAAGCGGACAAGGGAGCGTTTTCATGCCAGGCGGGGGGCAAGAGATCTCAGTACACGGACGGGAGGGGCGTCACGCATTTTCGAGCCAGGGGGTTTCAGGGCGCATACCAGGATCCCAACAGGCGGCGCAGACTTTTGATCATCGTTGGTGTGGCAGGGGTACGTCTGTTGTTGAAATCGCCTTTTTGAACCTCTTTTCCCTTCTCTTTGTTGGTTTCGTCCAGCCTCTTGGTAATGTCAGTGACATTTCTTATTATGCTTCTCTCTTGCTTCCCAGCCGCATGGATAGTCGAATTGAATCATGCATTTGAGATATGGGAAGTGATGTTGCTGCTTCTGATGATTCCTTGTTTGTGTTGTTGAAAGAGCACCTCAATGACATCGTAAGTGGTGGTGGTGGTGTTATCATAAGATTAGAAAGCACAAAGAGGGGTCATGACAAAGGATTCAATGCACGATCGTGTAAGAGAACCCTTGCCGAGCTATGCAGCATGCTTGGCCATCGCATTTTCTTCCTGCATGAGTCCATTCGGTCGATTGGTGGCGCTTGTGAATTCTTTATCTGATCAGTGAATCAGAAGAGGTTATCCATACCGTGATGCCTTCGAGTTGCATGCAGCATGCATGATCATCAGAGAATCATATCCAAGGGAGAACCTTCCTTGGACAATGAAGAAAGTCACGGTAGGGAAGACTTCCCATGTAAGAAGCAATGCGCGCCACAAAGGAAAACGTTTGGTGCTGTCACTTTTCGCAATTGAGTTCCTCTGTATGGATGTAACATTCCCGCAAGACGTGACCAATAAGGCGCAATTCTCCATCTCTGACAGGTTCATTAGAAGTATTCTGGCAGTCGGTGGGAATTGTGCAGTTGCATGTACTGACAGGGCAATTGCTTGAGATTGCGCAAAATCTGAAAGACCACCGGGCAAGGCATGTGATTGAGACACACCACTTGCGAGGCTGTGTCAAAGCTTACTCTACCTTGGTGCTGACCTTCTTGACATCGCCCATCCAATGGCACCCAAATTTCTCAGCTTACTACTTTTGGTGGGATAGTTCAAGAGAAGACAGTCGCGAAAGTGATTGTTTTACTCTTCGCCACCTCCGATTTACTGATTTACTTCCTTAGCCCCATTCGCAAGTTGTCAGTCTCTCGATGTTCCCCTGCAGTGATCTCAGTAAGTGCTTTAGAAACAATAGTTGCCATTGTTTAGAGGGGCTTGTTCGGACCAGGGTCGGATAGCAACGACCTCACCTTTTCGCGTTCACAGGGCGGCCTCTACATCTACTACGTGACCCACTTAGAGGAAGTGCCGTATACCCACCGGAAGCACTTCATCGCCATCAGCCCTGCAACTGAGCGTGCGCTCGGGGAGCAACAGTTCCAACAGGTACGTGTCATGCAGAAAGTGGAGAAGCAAAGAATATTGAACACTGGTTTGTCATTCTATGGATCCGTACCACGATTGGAAGTCTATTGTTGAACCGCCATTAGACTGGAAAGCATTCCTTTCTATCTGAGCAACTCTGCTGCAATCTTGCGGACACTTAATGTGCATCGCCTTTGTCCTTCAATTCCTTCCTCCCTTCTCTATCTTCGCTTAGGAACCTCTCTGCTCTACTCTGCAGACAACAGACCAACATTCATACAACGTGAAGTCTCTCTGTGATTGAAGCTCTGTTTCTGGAACCTCACATTCCTTGGAGTTCGCATCGTAGCCAGTTTCGTCCTTCTCCCATTCGCGTCAGGCTCCACTTTGGTGATCACAAGATTTCCCAGGTCAAACCCGTCAACATCAAAGCCAGCCAGTCCTGATTCTCCTCTTGCGTCAATCCTGATCTCTTTGGAAGTTTCCCACCGAGCGTTCTTCTCGTTCAGATCGAGCTTCGAACCGGCAACGACACTGTATGCAACAACACCCCAAACCCGTCGCTTTCATTCTTAAAAGCGCAGGCTGAAGGGCCCGACCTTTCCTGCGGATCGTTTTCAATCTTTTACGATTATCTTAGCCTTTTTTAAAAATACCTCGTGTACAACAAGTTCCAGTCATCCTGCCCAATAACCACCCCCAAAGTTTTTGCCTCTCCTTCCAGTGGCAGGCTGCAAAGCTTGACATTCGTCGTGCCCCCTTTTATAATCCTATACCCCTGTGTCAGGCCGGTCGTGTAGAACAAGTTCCGTTTCTTAATGACATCCTGCCCGCGGCGCTCCCGCAAGTTGCAGAGCTCGTGCCTTGCTTATCAACTCTACGAGTCTTTAACCGGATATAATTTTCCCATGCAGATCAAGCTCCAGTTTGCCGACGACATCCTGCCGAATAACCACCCCGAAACCCGCCGCGTACGCAAGATCGCATCGCGCATCATCGACGCGGCGACTGCGGGCGTAGACGAGCCTCCCCAGAACAAGCGCGACGCGGACGGAGAACTGGTACTCGACACGGCCGTGGTGGTAGACAAGGAGGTACGCAGCAGTGGCCCTGTGCTAATCTTGGAGCGGTGTGGAAAGCCTTTTCTAAAGTACAGCACGCAGCTCTGTCACTCTGGCAGTCCACTTTGCAGCCCGGAAAGGGAAGGAACTCTTGAATGGCAGCCTCCTTCAGACTGACTCAACTCCGAGATTAGTTTCGTGGTGAGGGCTGGATCGCGCGTTTGGAAAGCTGTTGGATCGCAAACTCTGGTCGACGTACTTCCCATTCATTTCGATTTGCTGCGGGGATCGGACAGTATACTCTCTTTGCGGTATAATTGACAACGCCTAGAAAGACAACATTCTGTGGGAAGTGGTCGGAGCTTGGTTCCACGCTCTACAATCCGTAAAGGAATAGGTGGGCAGAAGTTTGCTTGACAGGGGTTCATTTCATACCTTCTGAGAAAGCGGTTTTCGACCCGAGGACATTCTCCCGAGCACTCCTCTGCCACCAGATACGGGCACGGAACTGTGTAACGGCTGTCGCAATCGACGCGAAAGGACTCACAGACCGCTCTGTCTGCTCACAGGATCAGCCAAAGAGGCGCGAACTGAAGCCGGGGAAGAGGCCGGTTCCGATACCCGGGGAAGATCACATGCATGGGGGGGCAGAAACGGCAGGAAAACGAGACCCCCGCGACGAAGAGCTGCAAGGAGTGGACCGGGAGATGCTGGAGGAAGGAGTGCACGGGGCGCCGGATAAAGGAGGTGGGCCGTCCAATTGGACTACGGGCTTGTGCGGACGATTGTCAGCCGTCGGATCCGTGTTCGCGCATGTGTGTACAACCGTCGGCCGTTGAAGATGCCTTCTGTCCGCATGCAGGTAGTGACTAGACGTTCTTTCTTCGTTCGGGGTCAAGCTTCCGAGAACACCTTCGCTCGTCTCTGGATCCTAGGGCTACATTCCGGGCCTGTAACTGTGTCCGGAATCAAGCAGACGAGCTTGCGGCGCCCGATATGGAGTTTACCATCTAAGAATGCCTGTGGGCTGCTTTCCAATCAGATTCGCTTCTCACTGGGGGGGTTGCTACACGGACCACCTGGAGAGCCCCTTCCCCCTCGATCTGAACCCCAATATTTCTGAACCAAACGAGAATCCTCTTAAAGTGTGTTTCTTTGGTTGATCTTTGGTCGGCCCATCGTTCAATCTAATGACCCCACCAGAACATCCTCTTCCTCAGGAGGGGGTGGCTAGATGGAGCACCTGAAGGGCCTGCGGTGGGAGGTGTTGGTGGTAGACAAGGACATCCTGAACGCCTTCTGTCTTCCGGGGGGGAAGAGCGTCGTCTTCGCCGGGCTCATCGTTTCATCTGATCCCAACCCCCCAAAATATTTCCTTCCTCAGGGGGGGGTGGCTACACGGACCACCTGAAGGGCCTGCGGTGGGAGGCGCTGGTGGTAGACAAGGACATTCTGAATCCCTTTTGTCTTCGGGGGTGGAAGATCGTTTCTCTGGTTTTCTCATCGTTTTTTCTGACCCCAACCCCCCAAAACACTCTCTCGCTCAGGGGGGGGTGGCTACACGGACCACCTGAAGGGCCTGCGGTGGGAGGTGCTAGTGGTTGACAAGGACATCCTGAACGCCTTTTGTCTTCCGGGGGGGAAGATCGTCGTCTTCACTGGGCTGATCAAGCACTTCCCGACCTCGGATGAGATCGCCACCGTACTGGGGCACGAGGTCGGTTGCATCCACCGGGCTATGTTCGTTTGCTTCTTGTTTTCCTGGGGGAACGGGTGTTCATCGCCTTTGTGAAACGCGGTTGGTCGCATCAATTGGGCTCCACGCGTTTGCCGTGTGTTGTTTTTGAGGCACTTGATATCCATTCCGTTTGTAAAGGCAGGTCGAGCGGTTACGGAAAGCAGGGGTCTGTTGCACCCGTTTGTTGCGTGTCTTTTGGGGGCTGACAAACATTGCGTCTTTGAAAGCAGGTTGAGAGGTGACGAAAGTTAAAGTGGTTGTTTCGGACTTGGCGAGTCTGACTACTCTGTGCCCATTTGCTGGGTGATGCTTCGGGAGAGTGGTGTCCAGTCCGTTTGTCAAAGCGAATTGAGAACAAAATCAAATCATGCAAAGGTTTGGGAAATTGTGGTTCTGCCTTTGACACGAAGAGGAAGAAGGAAGTTTGGAGTAGTCCTTCTTTGGGCTTGGAGAGTTCCTGACCAAGATTCTGAGTGCTGCTGCTTGCCTCAACTTTCATGTTTGCTCGTCCTGTGACCAACACATGTAAATTTCTGAAGGTTTAAAGCGCAACTTTTGGATCCTGAACTGAAGTTCATCAACCTCTCGTATTATGAGACCCAGCAACATTTGATCTGTTGAGAAGTTGTATACCAAGTCGCGATCTTGAGAGCGATTTGTCGCTGGGTTTTTCTTCGTCTAGAGACATTTCATGAAAGCGGACTCTGCAAGGGGAGGAAGCTGTCACACGGCTGCTGGAACTAGAAGATTTGAAGCCTTTGAAATCATATTATGCATTCCTTTAGGTCAAGCCGCTTACGGCTGAACACGCCACGTGGGTTAGAGAAAGTCGTCCAAGTGTTGAATCCAGTGCCCCCGAATGCTAAAGCCAACCCTCTTACACCCCAAGAACCTCGCCCCTTCCGGATAGGTGGATCACAGGAGCGCGGGCCACGTGGAGGAACAGTTGTCGTCTAAAGAACGGCAGTCCCAGATACATATTTCTCAAAACCGTTACATTGTAAACCCAGGTTTCCTGATCGAAAACCGCACCCCTTCCCGACAGGTGGCTCACGGGAGCGCGCGGCATGTGGGAGAGAAGTTGTCGTCGGGTTTCATCGTGTCCGTTCTGGAACTCGCCGCGTACTTCGCGGGTCTGCCCATCGAACTCATAGTCCCCGCCTCGCAATCGCTGATAAGCCTACCCAACTCGAGAAAGTGAGTGCGGCCGTGGCACGTAGGGCCGCCGGTAACCCATCTCAAACCCTATCCCTAACCCTCCCTCAACCCTTGCCTGTCTTTTCCTTATTTCGCATGCCTTGTTTGGCCGGGACGACCTTGAAAGAGCTCGTTAAAACACTGTGCTAACCTCCGTTCCTCCGCCTTGAAGTTGTGTCGCTTTCTTGATAATTGAACGGGCCGAACGCCAAAGAAAGAGTCCGGGAAAGCGGAGGCTTCAGGACTTTGATCTGCAGGTGGCGCGCATTGCCAAGGGGCTCTCCTGGAGTCCTTCACTCCTTCGGGACTTGACGAGGTTTGACTTTTGACCAGGGTTTCAGGATATCTTGCAGGTAGCCTAGGTCGTGCCGTGCGATGCTGCCAAAAACTTTGCCGAGAGCACTTCATTTTTGTTGAAATTGTTGAAAATCGGTTGAGAATCCGGTTTAGGTTTGACAAACCGTATGCTTTGTAGCGTTTGCTCTCGGCTTTACCCTATGAATTCTTTATAACCGGGGGGGCTGCGTAATCTACAGGTAGCCCACATCACGGCGCGCCGCTTTTTGCCGCAAATCTCTCCCAGCCCTCTTCGAAGGGTCCTCGGATTTTGGGGTTTGGATAACCGGGGGGTTTGCATAACCTACAGGTAGCCCACGTCGTGGCGCGCCACATTGCCGAGAAGCTCTCGCAGAATCTCTGGTTGGTGTTTGGCGAGATACTCGCTCTGCAGTTCGTGGGGGATCCCTATCTGGTCGACTACATTGCCACCCTGGCGTTCCGCCTGCGCTACTCGCGCAAGTAAGCGAGCGGGGTTGAAAGCGGGTTAGAGTTTCTGGGAATGGGTTAAGGGAAGTTTCAAATGGTGGGGAATCCCTCTTCGGGTTGATAACATTGCCACGCTGGCGTTCCGCCTGCGCTACTCGCGCAAGTAAGCAAGAGGGTTTGGATGAGTTTAGGGAGACAATGGGGTACAGATATTTCATTCAGTTTTTGGATTCCTTTTTCGTTGACTACCATTGCTACGCTGGCAATCTGTCTGTGCTACTCGCGCAAGTAAGCGAGAGGGTTAATGTTTGAGGGAATGGGTTACCAACTTTACAACTCGTTGGGGATTGCTATCTGGTCGCCCCTATATTGCCACGCTGGCGTTCCGTTTGCGCTACTCGCGCAAGTAAGCGAGAGGGTTAAGCTTTGAGGATATGGATTACCGACTTATACAAGTCGTTGGGATATTTGGTCGCCTGTATTGCCACGCTGGCGTTCCGCCTGCGCTACTCGCGCAAATAAGCGCGCGGGTTAAGACGGGTTAGGGTTTGTGGGATTGGGTTAAGGCAACTTTATATCGCAGGCTGAGGTCGCTCAAGGCGCTCGGTTTCTTGCGCCTGCGCAAGCAAGCGAGGGTCTAGGTCGAGGCGCGTTAAGAGAACCGCTCAAAGCGGTTCTGTTGACGGGTTAAGCGGATGTTGGAGTCGATCCAGCTGGCTCAAGGGGAGGGGCTAACGGCGACAGAAAAGCATTCAGTTTGGAAGTGTCCACGGCCAGCATGTCACAAGATTGGTTCTGGTTCAGCTTAGAAGGTCTCAATGAGGAAAAGCACGGTTTCCAAGCAATTCGCAAATGCCTAACGAATGGTTTTGGGTTCTTTCAACCAGACTGTCAAGAGTCCAGTGCTTTGAGGTTCTCAATGGTCTGCTTTCAACGGGGTGGCTTCGCCTACTGCACAAGGAAAAGGAAACCGGGTTTCACAACTGACACTACAGGCGGGGTTGCTTATAGAAGCAAATCTTGCGGCACCTAAACTCTTCGGTCGCCCTGACTCGACCAACGAATTCCTTCGGTTGAGTGTGGCAGAACAGCAATGTGTGGAAGCAGATTCAGAACACACCAAAACGAGCCGTTTACGCCCTGTACAGATTCAGAAGGGAGGCGGATAAGATCAGGCTGCGAAAGTGCACGTGATTGCCAGAATAACAGGGATCTCAACCTCTCTTTTCTACGCAATTCAGAGTTGCATGCGGATTCGCTTGGGCTAGTTTAGAAGCATGCAACAGTCAAGACCGCGAATGACAGACTGCAAGGACGCGTCTCCGTTTCCAGTGCAGGCTCAAATTTGAAGGCCGCCTAACATTGCGCGGATGCGTGCGTGGCCAAAGGGCACACCTCGAAACTCTTAAGAGCCTGATACTCTTGACGTCTTATACCACGCTAATGGATTGTTGGTGCGTTTTCTCCTGATCATATGCAGGCGGACATTCGAGGCGGATGAAGCTGATCCAATCTACCAGCAGTCGAACAAGGTCACCTTCTTTCAATTGCTCTTACATCTTTTTCCTCTGCGAGGTGGAATGGAGGCGAAGACGATTGGGCTGACCTTCGATCTGATTACAGAGCCTATTCATCGTGGAGATTACGTGAAAGATCGTCTGTCAATGAAATCGTAAAGCTCCATGAATCCATGCAAAGCACATAAACCTCCACTCCTTTCGTATGCAGGCTTGAATCGGAGGCGGATAAGATAGGGCTGATCCTGATGGCGGCTGCGGGCTACGATCCTCGCATCGCGCCTTCCTTCTACGCGGTGAGTTTCTGCACGTGTCCGATTGCCACGTGTCACCCACGTGCTTATACCTCCACCACCCAAATCTCCCGTCTACAACAATCCCTCTCTCGGCTTGAGCCGTTCGGATTCGGTGGAACGATTTGTCTGCTCTTTTTTCACTCGGAGCTTTGCTCGGCGTTTCGTGTGTATGGTCATCTGTTCTCACCTGGAGGACATGTGCCACCTTGTGGTAATGCCACGTACAAAGGTGACACGTGTCCCTTCAAGCGGCGTCGCTTTGTGTGCCAATCAACCTGGACCGCTCATTCTCGTCGCTTCAAGTTTTCAAGGTCCGGCTCATCATCGGCCCGGAAGACCGAAGGGATTCTGCCGTTTCGAAGGGATCCCCTTGAATTGCCCAAAGCGGCACCAATCCGCTTATACAACGAAGTGTTGTCTCTGTACTTCCCTTGAAAGATACCAATGGAAATGATAAGCACTTGGCACGTTCTGTGCGATCTTCAAACTATTTGGTAACAGGGAGGGGGCCTTTAGCGATCGTCGAACTCCGCGGTCACCAGAAGTTTCCATCCTTATGTTCAGAACTACTTCTCCGCTCAAAGAGACCACTGGCACGTTTGCACCCGGTAGATTGACTTTTTGCCTTGACACCTCCCCAAATCCGCTTGCTCGAGAGTTGTCTGCTTGAGCGACAGTTTCACTCGCGCTTTTCGGGTCTGCAGAAAATGGCGCAACTGGAGGGACTCCCCGAGTACTTCCAGTACCTGTCGACGCACCCTGCGGGCCAGTGAGTCGCTGCCCGGTTCATTCTACTATCTCTCGCTTGTGCAGAATCGGCTTCGCCAAGAACCGCGCCAAGTTGGTGTTCATGTCTTTAAAGTGTGCGCACAATGCTGGTTGGGGCGATTGATAGTACGACGATAGAATCCACTCGCTCGTCCAAGAAAGTTTTCAGCTTTTTCTCTGTACGTAACTTGCAAGCCGAGATTCTCGAGCGTTCGGTTTCATGGATCGCGAGCGTTTGACCGTCTTATGACCGTACAAAGCGCTGTTTTGGAGTTGTCTTCTTCCACTACTGGAGTCTGCAGTACGGCGCAGGCTAGCTTTGCCCTGGACAGATACTTCAAGAAACAAGAAGGGTTCCTGCATTGTGAACCGCTAGCGTGAACTGGCTACCGCTTTTTTGGAAAACACCCCAAGATTGTCGAGGCACCAATCATAATTGGGACCCTTTTCTTTGAAATGGCACAGGCTGTTGTGCTCGCAATTGAAGTTGGTCAGGGCGTCCGGCATTTGCGGGCCAAATTAAATGCATGGTTATATCATGACTTCTCGAACGGCGTTGATCCTGAAAGAATGGCTGGAAATGCGGCCAGATTGAAGATCCAGGCAACGGGCGCGTGCAGACGCAAAAACAATCTGAAGGAGTACGCGTTGATGATCAAAAACTGGGAATATTATCTTTTGTTGGCGTCGGAATTGTGAATCTGAATGAGAGTTCTGCATGTTCTTTGCGTCCCTGCAAATCACAGACCTTCTCCTAGCTCCTTTTTCCAGGCAACAAGCGCCAGCAAAGGGAACGAAGAAGGCATTGGATGAGCACACGGTCCAAGCTCGACGGAGTGTTTGACCGGATTTCCATATCAAACGCTCTTTCTCTAGAAGCCGCCCAGAATATCCAGCTTACTCAGACGCTGGTTCTTTGTTGCTACTCTGGCAACGGGCGCGCGCTCACGCAAGCGAAGGTGATGGAGAAGGCCTTGGATTCTCAAGTACGCGGCCAGGGTCCAAGCACGACAAGCGTGAAGAAATCTTCTGAAAAATGCATTTCCGTGTCTGATCCAACCCAAGACGTTTCCTTTTCCTTTTTCCCCTTCTTTATATTGAACGTTTCGTTGTTACGCAGGCAACGGGCGCGCGCGCTCGCGCAATCGAAGGTGATGGAGGAAGCGGTCCGGATCTACGAGAGGACGCTCGAGAAGCAACAGCAGCACAAGTTCTTTCTCGGTTTCTAGGGACGGCGATGTCGAAATATGAAACGAACGGACTAAAAGTAAGAGAGTGAGGCAGACTCGGAGCAGTGCGGAGCAGTGCGCGGTGCACAGTGCAGGACTATAGCGGTAGTGGGCACTGATTTGCATGAGCAAGGTGCGGATACTTGATCATGCAGAACGTATGGAGTGTGTGCGTTTGTGGAGGATCATGTAAATAGTAGGGACGCCGCGGGTCTACTTTTGCTTGGAGACAAGGAAGTGGATCGGCGTGGTATAGTTTTAGTACCATGGTCCCGAATCTTGGCGCATAGAGGCAGTCCAAGCAGTCAAAGATGGTGCATTTTGGGTCTCGATTATCTCATCTCCGCAGCAAGGGTGGAGCTTACTTCAAGTCCTTGTTCACGGTCAGAGGCCGAACGAGAGGCCGTCAATGAAAGTGAAGCCCTGGTGAAGCTCTTTGGCTACTTTTAACATTCATTGTCCGCAACGCCTTGGGGGAATTCAGGGTGTTATTGTCCGAGCTTCAATTTATTGAAGCCGAATCGTGAGTATCCATAACCGGCGCGTGCAAATGTTGCCAAAGTGCGCATTGTAGGTGGGACTCAACCTCGAAACTAGCTTAATGCGTTCGTTTGTGCCGAGCCTGAGGGGCAACTTCGTTCGACAAGAGGTTAAACCGTTGCATGACGTTTTTTCACATATACATGTGTACCTTATGTGGACACGGTGCCCTCGACATAATGGTGCCGCTAGTACGGTAACGCTCGCTGCGTCGGGCGCGCTATTTGAAGTTTGATTACTTACGGTATCATATTGTTCGAATGATAACAGGAGATCATTCGAACGTGTCCGTCCAATCGTACGTTGCCGCCTAACATGCATGTAAGCACCGAGTCCGCCATGCTGCATGTGCTTCCATGAGCTAGCTAGGCGTGTAGAACGACGTTAAGTTACCGATCATCGATCGGATCGATCATTTTGCATGATGGTGGCACACATGCACGACGTACGGCAATAAGCTGTACGTGGACTATATGCAATGTTCCGAGCGACCTAGAAACGGTCGGCTGGGATCCTCGTAACTGGAGCCTGCATGATGATCGAGTCATGACGTCTCGGTACTTTCGTTTGTATAATGTCTTCTCGCATCACATCACAACGATTAATTGCACGATGTGATACGCACCGACATTGCCAGATCGGCGGTGCACCACATGAATCCTTCTCGAGTATCTCAGCTTTAACGTGCATCGGCGCGCTCAAATTGGTGTCTCTTATCAGAAACAATAAAACAAAATTTATAACGCTAAAGAGTGACTCCAGAGTCGAACACAATCATGTTGGGTGTCTTTACCAGTCGAACTATGAATTTGTCGGCTGGTTGGGTGGGATCAAAGTATTTTCTTCAAGTTGCACTCGGACGTAAATACTACCAAAACTGTGACTTGTATGTCAAAACCATTGGATCGCTATCTCGGTTGACAGTAAACGAACTTCACAGTACGGAGAATGTCACTCTTAGAAATACAGGTGGACGGTAATCGACGGTAAGTTGGCTGATGCGTAGACATCTCGGTAATCGTTTCCAAGCAAATACACACGTAGTCTATTTCTTACCCTCTACTGTCAAGGTCTATATAATACTACTGCCCCCTCCCAGTTGGCCCCAGGGGTTGTTGCTTCTCTCCAAACTCAATCAAACTCCACCCAATAAGTTATCCTCATCTGTAAGGACCGGAACGGAATCGTTTCCGCCCGTGGCTCGAATAATAGGACCTGATTATAACCTCCACGAACTGCTTTCTCGTGCTCCCATGAACACTTGGAATCGGTGGTCTCCCGCTGACGTCGCAATGACGTCGCTCTAGCAAGCTGACACCTCCTGTTCGCAAGCCTCTTCGCCGGCCGGAAAGCACTCTTATTCTGCCACGTGTACTTTTCTTATTCTCTTGTGCCGCCACGTGTTCGCTCACGCCTTGACGACGTAGACATCCCTCTGGATCTCCGTGTCGGGATGCTGCGGGTCGAAGAATTGCGCTGACGGCAGCAGTGACGACAGCAGGACGGCGTTCGTCAGCCCCGCGGGGGGGGACGGGCTCGCCACGTCAGCGCTAACCCCCCACCCGATGAAACCCAGGTAGTTAGTGTTGGAAAGCGGCTCAACGCAGGTGGTTAAGGTGCAGGTTTGCGCGCCCGGACCAGAGGGGGTGCAGCAGGAGAAGACGTAGGGGGAGCTGGTTATGACGGTAACCCCGGTGGATTTGTGCTGGGCGATGAGTAGGGGGACTCCCCCAGCGGTGACTTTGTCGAGGGCGTACCAGTCGAGGGTCTGGAAGGAGACGGAGGGGGGGACCTTGCTCTGGGCCTGGATCAGGCCGACCTGTGGGGGGGGGCAAAAGGAAACGCGTTGGGGAGGGGGGGGGGGAGGACAACACGTTTGAATGTGATACGTTCCGGCTTTTGAGCGAAGCGGAAGATGAACGGGAGAGTCTCGCAGCTCAGTTTGACGGGAAGCGATTGAAGTCCCAGAATTGGAGTACAAGGCAGCATTTGAAAGGTCATACGCTTGTCACAATCTCCTGCATCGATCCCCTCAGAATTCGATGCAAACGGAACGGTCGGGTTCGGAGCAGCATACGCCGCTCATCGCACTTAGGAAGAGTCAAGGTACGTGCGTCATTCTGAAACCACTTGAACAAATTTGAACCTGGGTCCAGCGATTCGGGTTGCTTGCTTGTAGATGAAAGAAAAGAAACAAGTGTAGATGAAAGAAGAACAAGAAGGAAAAGAAAAGGCAAACCTTCGTCAGCGTGGGGCAAAGGCTGCGTTCAGCTTTCCGACTTTGCTTGCACGAAGGCATATGCTTCGATCTTTTGACATCCGACTACACGCTTCGATGGAAAAGCGCTCTATATGTATCGACCGGCGCTCAGTCATAAACCAACGTCAGGTCCGTAAGATCTCTCAGTAACCAGCCGAAGGTCGTCTACATTTTACAAATAAGGGCCATGACGGTGCAGTTCCCAGCACTTTGGTGCGAGTATGTTTTTGTCTCCACGAGAAGAAACACTCACACCGGAGGTCGGACCAGTTCTCGCAGATACAGGACCGAAAGAACCAGGATTACTATAATCTGGTACGACGATGAACTCGTCTCCAAGAAACGATGAAGCGTTGAAGATACGAATCAAAGGAATCTGCATGAGTTTGGTCCCACCAGAGTCTCGGCTTCATGATACGCAACACTCACGCTGCCAGCACTACAGGCCAGGATATTCTCGAACTACACTCTCCAAGAATCTGGTGCCACTATTCTTTGTTCCTTCTCTCAGGAAGCGACCCGAACAAACAAACACGAACAAAAGCCACTCACGCTTGCTGCGCTGTAGGTCAGGATGTTCTCCTTGACGAACCCTTGCAGGCGACCCGCCTGCGTGGCCACGGCCGCAAGGGTCGCCCCCGCGGTAATATAATAACGGAACTCCAACGTGCCTCCGTTGGCGGGGATTCCAACCGGCCGCTTGATGGTCTCGAGAATGTTCCCATAGACCGTGTTCGGGTCCAGGAACTTGCCGAACCGGACCTCGCACCCGAAGTTGGAGGGACCCCCCTCGAAGGGCGATTTGGGCGCGAACATGACGCCGAGCGCGCGCGCGAGCGGGCAGTTGGCGGAGGCGAAGGCCATCCAGCCGTTGGTCTGGGTGCCGCAGTTGAAGAGGCCCTGTGGGGGAGAGTCCGAACGGGTCAGCAAACCCCCCTTAGAGGAGAACCAAGTTTTCTCCGATCCATTTTTTACCTTCAAAACCGGAAGGGGCTGCCGCCTCCCCGAGCCCCCCCGCTTTTTCCTCTCTGGCCCTTTGTTCTCATTGCATGTGAGGGGTCGACAACTTGGAGCGCTTCTGAATGCACAATGGTGGAGGCGAAGGCCATCCAGCGGTTGGTCTGGGTGCCGCAGTTGAAGAGGCCCCGTGGAGAGAGTGACGTTGTGAACCGGTTAGCAAGCCCCTTCTGGAACGATAG